CGCGTTCATTGTCTTTCAAGCGTTTAAACGCTTCGGGTTCGAGTTATCTAGCTTCTCGCGGATTCGGGATGAATATAGGATAAAACCGAAATTCTCTGCAAAATAGATCTACTATATTGTACGTACGTACAATGTACGATATGTGCGTGTGTGTGTGTGCGTGCTACGTTATGGGAAGGCAAGCATACGACGGCGACGATTAACACGCGGTTAAATTACACGATTAGGATGTTGGGGGGGGGGGCGGGAGGGCAGCGTGGAAAAGATATCTACGAATTTTCCATCGAATGAAACATGCCCAAAAGAATCGAGCGTATGTGCTTTGGAAACAACGTCTATTCAATAACGCGGCAAGTATGTCTATCGTGGCACGAGTTCCCATGATCCAGGTAAATGATCTCTCGGCGTCTGGCGATTATATTTCCTTACTCGTCGCTGGTACTTTCTCCAGTTTCTTTCAATTGCGCCATCTTTTCTTTTCTTTTTTCTTCCTTTTTTCCGACTCTGAAAGTTAATTACTATACGATATGTCCTCCGTGGCCGACCAAATTTGTCCGGCAATTCCGCAATTGCGATGATACGTGCTCTTTCCACGCGCGAGCACGCACTCTCGCTAAGCCGTAAGAAACCGAAAGAGCCACCTGTGTGTTGCTCGTAACGCGCAACCTTGCCAGCTGGAATGCATCGTGCCTGATTTGCCTCGTTCGCCCAACCAACTACTAAACCGTCTGCCTATTTATTACACGTACGTACTTTTGTCCAATGAAGAATCTGCGTGTCCAGCAGACTGGCTACGAGTGCGCGTCGAGTGTTCGATTGTTTCCCTTTTCGTAAATTCACGCGTGACGCGGAACGCGTTTGCGCAACGCGTTGTTTCCCGTGTTACGTATTTCGTCGTCGAAACGGAGGGGAACGGAGCTCTCGACGTTCGCGCGATATTCGGTAGGCGGTCAACTAACGGTCGACGCTCGCGCATCTTTTGTACTTTCGCCCCGTGTGGCGACCTGGAGGACGGTGGAAGCAGCGACGTAGACCCAGCGGACAGCTAGGACCTACCTCAACGACGACGGCCGCGGCGTTCCAACGAAATTCCTGGGAAGCCGCGGTTCCGTGGAAAAAAGTAAGGCGCGCAAAGCCGGTGGACGCCGGTGCAAGCGCATCTCAGCCCGGCAAGAACATGCTGAAAAATGCGGTAATGACGCACTGTCCTCGCATTGCTCGCGACAATTATACCCCATTACGCCCGCGCCCCCGTCCCGACACCCCCCCTTTATCACCCAGATCGCGTCCGTGCCCGGACCGAGCCACCTTGCGGTAGGTCGCGAGCCCTCTACCTTCTTCCCTTTTCTCTCTACTCTTCTCCTCTTCTCTTCTCCTCTTCTCCTCTCTTCTCTATCGCTAGCAAGCCTTTACCCTACTTTCACGCTTCCAACGCGAATTTCCAATTTGCGACCAACGTCGCCTGTGTTTGAAACTGTTCTTTCAACAAATCAAATATCGATCGAACGATCAAACACCGATCGATTCCAGTTTCAGCGAGCTGTGTCGTTTCGTTGCTCGAACACGTTTCGTTTCATTTCCCCCCCACTCCCCCTAAATCTCGTTGGACGATAAATCATCTCTCTGTGGAAAGAAAAGAATCGCATCGGCGTCGTTGGCTTTAGTGAATCGTCGTGGGAGCCACGTGACGCATGAAAATTTCACGAACCGGAGTCAGTCACGGCTGTGTTCGCGAGTGTGTTCAACAGGTGGGTGTGTGTCGAGAGTGCACGCGGCACTTTCCATTCACCTCACACTTTCCGCCCGATTTCCCGTCAAAATACAATTCTCAACGAATTTCCCTCGCTATTTATTTCCTTGCTCGCTCGTCCGTCGATACACGCGCAATCCGCTTAGCCACTCGAAAAGTCAAATTCGTATAAGCACACCGCCACCGGCTTGTTGCATAAGAAGCAAGTCGCAAGTTGATTCTTCTCGCGCGACAATTTCACTTGTATGTACTTACGTATGTAGCGAGAGTGGGACAGGTTCGCGTTTGTGTTTGTTTCGTCTTTGATAAAAGTAAAAGCGTCGAACGAAACGAACAAAACAAAAGATTGAGAATCATCAGGGAAAGATGCTGAACGTAAGATCATTACGTAAGAAAGTATTGATTTTACGTGAGTCAGCGTCAGGTGTGTCGATGTGTGTTGCACGTTGCACGTTGAACGAAGAGAGACGTTAATGAACGACACTCGTAACGATGTACTTTGTTTTTTGCTAAACGAATTACTCGTAACTCGCGCCGATTCGGAGGGGAGGGGGGCGAGACGCGATCGACGAAACGCAGACAAATCCACTCGATGTTGAACCATCTATTAATTCAACTGTTTCGAACAAGCAACGCACGACGAGAGTTTCTGACGACGATCTCGAGGTTAATTGATCAGAGAGCAAAGGAAACCGGCGTATTGCCGGATAGAGCGAGCAAATTCATTCACGATACTTCGAGGACGACAGCTGTTACGAGAGCTGCAAGAACGGAGCGTATCTCAAAGTGTATCAATTCGGGGAACACGTTGCTACCGGAAAGAGGACATTCGGTCAACATAACGTACAACAATCTGGAGCGTAACGTAGAATTGTTACAGGCTGCGAATATGTATATATATATATATGTACTTGTCTGGATGGATTTCGCGTACACGAATTTCGTCACAGACAAATCTCGTTTTCAACGTTGCACAGAAATAACAGGAAGGGACATGAAAGAGCTGCAATCGAGGGACACAAGTTCGACAAAGTATCGAAGAGAAAGATACAAACGAACGATCGTGGATGAAATGAAATGAAATGAAATGACGAATGATGAGAGAAAAGAGAGAAAGAGAGAGAGAGAGAGAGAGTTGGAGAGTTGGTCCGTGGCGCGTTTTTTTTTTTTTTTTTTTTTTCTCGAGAACGATTGGTACGGAAACGCCAACCAACTCGGTATATTCTGTAGACTGTAGATTGTGTGTAGCGAGTAGTTGAACTTACTGAGCCACGTGGTCGCGGTGACGACGGATGCGTTGTATCTCGATCGTATCCCTCGATCGTCGTAAAAAGCAGGTACCGGGCACGAGTCACGCGACAAGCGTCTCTTCTTCGGATCGTTTCTCTTTATTCTCGGAGCGATAACCGTTGCTAATCGTTGATTCTTATCGAGGATGGTTTTGTACCATTTGGCGGTGGTTGTTCGGGTTGTTGGCGGTTTGTTTAGCTGGTGGGACGCAGTGGTAGTAGCAGTAGTAATAGTGGTAGTAGTGTCGTTTGGGCCGTTGGACGAGGTACGACGATGATCGAGAACTCGGTGGGAAGTGGTCCTTTGGTCACGAACTAGAATGTCCTCCATTGTCATTTGCCGATGGTGCGCGATCGTGGTATCCTGCGCAACTGTCATATTCGCATAGCACTTCATCACTCTGCGGAGTAGGAAGCAGACACTCGCGGTGGCGCGTGGCGGCCAAGGAGCGAGTGAGACGAGCGTATCTGTATCCTTGCGTGTCGCAGCACACCGATGTATACCGTACTGGCTGCGCGAAGGCGCGCGCGGGTCACTGGTACCCGCTCGTCGTCGAGCGTGTATTTACGTAGCTGACAGATACCAGTCGCATGGAGAATACACTGACTCGTTCTACGTATATATATATATATATATATATGTATCTACGTCGATGGCGTCGATAGCGTTTTTATTTTATTTCCCTTCGGTAATTCGGTATATCGATATATCAATATATCGGTATTGAAAAACAAACGAGTTGCGAGCAGACGAAACAGAGAGATAGAGAGAAAAAGAGAGAGAGAGAGAGCGGTTCACTTGGTCGGTTATTCACTTGGTCGGCCGACTTGGCTAAATCATAGGCTAGAGTTGAAGTGTATATGGTCACACTTGAAAAACTGTCTGCACGGAATCACAACTCGTTTGGCACTGGTCCCGACACACGCGATGCACTGATTCTTATACGAGGGGAGAAGGGGGTTACGAGAGCTGTCTCAGAAGAAGGTAGGAGGAGGAGGAGGGGAACGGGTAGGTGCTTAAGAATGTGGCGGGGAGGTTCGTGTGGAAAGGAAAAAGAATCGACGGGGTATCCTGCTACGTACACCGTTAAGGGTGGT